TGAAATCCTGTTCAAACCCATATATTTTTTACTTGCAAAGTAGAGAAAAACAGCTTAAATCCCTTCAGAGATTATAAACCAACCTTTATATGCACTTCTAAGTCTTTCACCTTTACCCACTAGTGATTACGTGTTAAATGTATGTTAGACGTCCTTTAGGCCTAAAGGTTAATCTATAATAGCTTGCTTGAACATTTTCCTGTAGAAATAAAAATGTTAGATTGCTAAGAAAATTGTGTTATACCTAGAAAATATCTTAAAGGTTGTTCCTGTGAATCATTGTGTCCTGTCCTTGAATTTCTCCTTGAAGAAAGTTAATAAAGACTGGGGTAGAGATAGTTCTGTGTGCATTCTTGGCAGCAGGTCTATCTGCCTGTCAGCTTGTATCCACTCTGGTCTCCGAGTGTTTCTTTTCTCTCTCGCCTCTCCAGACATCCCACCTAGAGTTAGTTCTGTGTGCAATGTCTGCCCCCGAGCAGTCTGTCTGGCAGCTTGCTTCAAACCTGTGTGTCTGTCTTCTTTGTGTCTGTTTTTTTTTTTCTCTCTCTCTCTCTATCGTCGCCAGACACTCCACCTTCGTGTACTCACCCCCTTGTCGAGGCCAGACCCCGGCACCCACGGGCTTTTCTCCCATGGGCTTTACTCCATTCGTGTCATCACAGTCCACTCTACTTTGAGGAGGCAGCTCTTCCCCCGTCGCATTTTGAGTGCCTTCCAACATGAGGGGCTCATTTCCTGGCACTATATCTGACAGTGGGTCACTGCTATTCATGTTTTTCAGTGGTTAAATTTCAGAAGTAGTTCGTCACTCCTTCCTAGTTTGTCTTCGTCTGGAAGCTCATCTGAAACCTGTCCACCATGTGTGACCCTGCTGGTATTTAAAATACTGGTGGCATAGCTTTCAAATCACAGCAACTCACAAGCCACCACAGTACGACAAACTGACAGACAAGTGATGGTTCATTTGCTTAGGTTTCCATAATCAACACTCACGGAAGCATCAGTCACAACATGAAACCGTGTTTTTGCATTAAGCAAACCTGCTGCAAAAGAACTCTAGAGTGTTCAAGAGTACGTATATCAGTTTCAGGACTAAGGTATGCCTGACCCAAGGCACCGCAGTTTCAATTGCCCGTATACATGTGAAAGTTGGACAATTAATAAAGAAGATCATAGAACTGATGAATTTGAGTTGTGGTGTTGAAGGTGAACACTGAAAGTACCATGGACTGCCAGAAGAACAAACAAAGCCATCTTGGAAGAGGTACAGCCAGAATAATGCTCCTTAGAAGCCAGGATGGTGAGAACTTAGACATGTTATCAGGCGGGACCAGTCCCCGGAGAAGGACATCATGCTTGGTAAAGTGGAGGGTGAGCGGATAAGAGGGAGATCTCCAATGAGGTGGACTGGTATAGTAGCAGCAGCAATGGGCTCCAGCGTGACAACTGTGAGGTTAACGTAGGCCCGGGCAGTGATTTGTTCTGTTGTGTGCACAGGAGAGCTATGAGGTGGACACCACTCAACAACACCTAATAACATCAACGAGGGGAGCTTTAAAAAGTTCGTGGAAAAATTCCATTATCCTTTAATGCCATTTTTCCCTGAACTTTTTAAAGCCCCTGTATGTATACATATTTTCTATATACTTGAAAGCTAAGGAAGTAAGGTGGCTCTGTCAGACAGGCACTGGATTGCCAACCACAAGGTTGATGGTTCGGGTCTACCAACTGCTCCACAGGAGAAAGATGAGGTTTTCTGTTGCTGCAAAGATTTATAGTCTTGCAAACCCTATACCGCGGCACTCAACAACAACAATAAACCCTAGACAAGGTCACTATGAGTCGAAATCGACTACAGAACTTAACAATAGGAAAGTTAAACAATGCTCTAAAGGCCTTGAAATTGTGCACAGCAAAGTATCCTAAATTAACGTCTATTGTTGTTAAATGCCATCGAGTTAGTTCTGACCCACCGCAATTCTGTATAGGGTTTCCAAGGAGTGCCTGGTGGGTTTAAACCACTGACCCGTTGGTTTACCAGTCCAGTGCTTATCCTATAGAGCCACACTAGGACTCCATTCGTACAACCAGATATAGAAGAATTTTCAGACCTTCTTTAGAGCATGTTGAACAAGAGAAGTGCATAGAGGTCTAACCTATGCCAAAGTTCTAATTGTTAGAAATACATTTTGTGGCAGAGCCCACAGAAATCTAAACCCTGTCTCGGCCTTGCCCACACCTTGCCCTGGTCTGTGCCCCTGGTCCCCTGGCCCCCAATACAGATAGCCCCAAACAAGGAAGAGACCAAGGGACCTGGACTAGGCCTGACTCACCTGCCTGAGGAACCGGTTGTTGTCTAGGTCGACCACAAGCACCTACAGGATAGGAGGGAAACGGGCAAATGTTACTGTGAGCAAGGAATGTCGGGGGGTTTGAACCATCAACCTTGTGTTTAGCAGTCCAGTGCTTATCTTCCAGAGCCACATCAGGACTCCAGTGTGGCACTAAGGGCTCGCAGACCCTAACCCTGACTTGCTGAACCCTTAGAGCCACTGGCCTGCTGTGCAGGAGGGGAGCAGGCCCAGTGGACTCCGCACACAGAGGCCTCCACACACAGGTGCACAATATCTGATACCACTGGGCGGTGGGAGGCCCTCAGTCTTACGGGGTCACGCTAAGCCATCCTAGAGACCACAGCACCAGCAGAGATCCTCATGGTGCCACACCCAGCAGGGACGGAGTCTGAGGGCTGGTTGGAGTGGTTTTAGGGGGCCCAGGTGACCCAGTGGGGACAGAGTCTGAGGACCGGTTGATGTAGTTTTAGGGGGCCCAGGACACCTAGTGGAGATGGAGTCTGGGGGCCGTGTGGAATGGCTTTAAGGGGGCCTAGGAGAACAGCATCACTGAGGGTCCCCCAGCTTCTCCGACCACTCACTCTGAGGGCCTCATTTAGGGGATGGTCTGTGGCTAAATAACTAAAGATACAGTAGGTTCGAGTGGGACCTGGGACTTGACCAAGTAGAGACATTTCGGTGGCTGTGGGTTTAACTGATAGGAAGAGGGCCTACTGACGTGAGCAGTCTTTCCACTGCTGTGTGGAGACATAAATGCCACCAAAGCCAGCTCCTCCAGGGCCCTCTCCCTGGGTGTCCCAGATGTGGGGTCCTGGGGGGGACCCCCATCCCTGCTGCTCACCCCCTAGAGCTGATGGAGTCTGCCAAGGCCCTGTTTCAGCTAGTGTGACTGCCCTTACTGTCCAGTTCCTACACTTTGTGTGATGCCCCCCTCCTTTGCCCCTCCCATGAGTGTGATGCCCTTTCTCTTCCCTCCTCCATGGATGTGATACTCCTCCCCTCCCCGCTTTCTGAGTGTGATGCTCCTCTCCCTCCCCCCATGGGTGTTATGCCCCCTCCCCTCCCCCAATGGGTGTGATGCCCCTCCCCCTGCCCCCTCCATGGGTGTGATGCTCCTCCCTCCCCCCTCCATGGGTGTCGCGCTCCCTCACCTCTTCCAGAGGCAGCTCATGGAGCAGCGGCAGCGTGCTGGCAAGCAGCCCGATGAGGAAGGGGGTGGGCGAGCACACAATGTCAATCATGGAGGGCGGAAGCACGGGCACGTAGGTGTGCTGCCAGGTGAAGGGGTAGGTGAGCGCCACCACAGCGTGGCAGCACGTGGAGAGGGTGCTGCGGAGAGAAGAGCTGTCAGTCAGTGGGCTGTCCCCGCGCGTCAAAGGGCCTCACCATGGGAGGTGCATGTCACACACAATTCAGCCTGCACACCGGTTGGTGGTCCTAGATGTTGAGACAGAGCTAGAACCCAAACTGAACCCACTGCCGTCCAGTCCCTTCCGACTCAAATGACACAGAGCACAGCTGCCCACAGACCCTCCTAGGCTGACTGCCAGACTTTTACCCACAGAGCCACTGTGTGGGCGTTTACATTAGGAAGGTCAGCAGCCGAGTGCTTTAACTGCGTGCTGCCAGGGCCCCCTGTGCTGAGGGCAGCTGTGTGTTGTCTGGCGCACTGGACAGTCCACAGGGACATCGAGGGTCTCTCCTGGTGAGCTTGACACATAGCCTGGCTGCGTTTCTGGAGGAAGTCCCAGGTGGGATGGGTTGGGTCCCAGCAGGCTTTGCTGCAGAGTGGTGGTGCCTTACTCCGAGACATCAGCTATGTCTGTGATATCCACTCATATGCTCCAGTTCCGGTTGCTACCCAGCTCCCGGATGACATGTGGGGTTACCGTGCTGAGGTACTTCCACCTCCACACAGGGCTACTAAGACTCTGGATGGAGCATCCTTTAAGAAGACATGGGAATGAGCTCCCTCATCAACCAAACACCCTGTGCCCAGTGTCTCTCATTCTGGTACATCAGCCCATGGAAGAGGGAAGGTAACCTCGGTCTGGTGGCAGGTGAGTCCCAGTGGGAGGGGGTGTCACTACCCTTCCATCATTGTCCTTTCAGACCCTGCAGAGGTGTGGCACCAAGCTTACAGTCAACTCAGGGCTGGGCCTCCAGAACGCAGGCCTGCAATGAGCTATGGACCCCAGCGAGGTCTGCCTTTCTCTTGGCCTCAGACTCATCATCTGGAAAATAAGCAAACGGACAAGAGACTCTGCTATGTCATTCCAGCTTTCACGTCTGTGAAGCGTGAACACAGGGACTGTGAACAGGAGCCTCGTGTGGAGACCATGAAAAGGACCACGGTTGCTCACTGCAACTAGTTCTGGGCTTCCTCGTGGAGACAAGACAGACAGATGGACAAATAGTGGACAGAAGCATTAGAGAAGCTCAGAGCCACCACAGTCCAATGAGGACAATGACAACACAAGGCCATGGAGCCGTGAGGGACGTGGTTCCAGAGAGGAACTGGAGCACGCCTCCAACCCAGGACTAGTGATGATGGGTTTGGGCAGGTGATAGTCTGGGGTTCATCCACCTGGTGTTCAGATGCAGTAACAAGTAGTTTATCCTCGATACACCCTGTTGAGTCAAACCAATGCTTGTTGTTTAGTGCTGCTGAGTCAGTTCTGACTCATAGCGACTCTGTATAGGGTTTCCAAGGAGCAGCTGGTGGGTTTGAACTGCCAACCTTGTGGTTAGCAATCCAGTGCTGATCCAACACCGCCATACCAGGACTCTAAACTGATGCTAGTATGCCATTAAAGTGATCTTTTTCACAGAACTTTCCTTGATTAAAAGTATGAGGGAGCTTCAAAACATTCATGGAAAACTGAGTTAAAAGATAATGGAATATTTCCACAGACTTTTTGGAGTCCTTTCATATTTATTTCAAAGACCCTGTCAAGTACACTGAGTATCAGCCAGACTTATGAGCAGTACTTTAGGTCACTGAGCTCCAAAGTAGCTTTGGGCAAACTCAGTGTCTAGAGCAGGGATAGGGAACCTTTTTTTTTTTTTTTTTTCCAAGTACCATTTGGAAATTTATAACACCATTCATGTTGTTGTTGTCAAGTGCCATCGAGTCGGAACCAACTTATAGCGACCCCATGCACAGCAGAATGAAACAATGTCCGATCCTGGGCCAACCTCACTACCACCGCCACACAAGACACCATCAATGATGCCACCTGGCTGATCCATCTCATTGGGGGTCTTCCTCTTTTTCTCTGACCCTCCATCTTACCCAGCATGACATCCTTTTCCAGCGACTGTTCCCTCCTGACAATATGTCCAAAGTATGAGAGACGAAGCTTAGCCATCTTGCCTCCATGGAGCACACTGGCTGCACTTCTTCCAAAACAGATCTATTGGTTCTTTTGGCAGTCCATGGCACTTTCAGTATTCTCCTCCAACACCACAATTCAAAGGCATCAATTCTTCTATGATCTTCCTTATTCACCGTCCAGCTTTCACATCCATATGAGGTTATTGAACATACCATGGCTTGGGTCAGGTGTACCTTAGTCCTCATTCATGGGCCATGCAAAATTTATTAGCGTAAAAATCATCTTGCTAAAACTTGTAAGCTTACTGGTAACCACCTTAGTCTACTTGTGAGTGGAAGAGGGGAAAAGGCAGTAAGGAAGGCATGGGCTGAGTTCAACTATGTTCTATAGACACCCGTTGACCTTGAGATGAGAGAGAAAAGAGGAAGGGCTGGTTGGTCTGAAGTTTAGGGAGACTTGGAAACTCCTAAGCCCATGGACACTGACCTAGTCACTGGGGGCTAGAGCTGAGAGTGAAGTGGCCAGTTGATGTGAAGTGGGGGGAGATGTATAAGAACGCCTAAACTTGTAGGTAGCGCCCATTTGACTTAGCTTGGACGGCTTGTTGATTACAACTCAACTACAGGAAGATAAATCTGATACAGGAAGCAAGTGTAAATTGCTACAATTTGATGAACTTACCTTAGCTTATGAATGCAGTTGCTCAAAATTCTAACTGAGAGGGAAGGAGTCTTCACATCAAGGATCAAGCCTATCCCCTTAATACACAGGATGATAGGGACGGGCAACTTAGACACTGGCTACCAAAAATGGGGGTGCTATAAAGGCATGAAGTGGCTAGCTTACACGTTTTCAAGAGTGTGTATAGTTTCAGAACAAAGTGCGGTAAGGTAGAATCCCCATTGAATAGTTTTCCTCTTGTCTAGATGGGTCTGGGGAAAGGGAATGGGGGAAGATGGGGATAGGATGCTTTTGATTCAATAGTGAGAATAATTGGTATCGTGACTAATTGCAATGGTCACAACACTAAAGGTAGAAGATGTGAAACAAAAAGGGGGGAGTAGTTCATCTTTTACTCCAGGAACAGAGGACTGTAGGACCATCAAGAGGGAAGAGCATGAGCAGAGCGTGGGATCCTAACCAGAGAAGCAGCAGCACCAGAGATGGAAGCAGAGATGAGGACATGGAGAGAGAGAGCAGCTGAGGACTCTAGACCCATGGAAAGAGAAAGGCTGTGTGCTTGGCAGGCAGGAGGCTGGCTTGCAAAATGTGCCATTTGGTCATTTAAACAAACATGGATTTTCTGTGTATTTTGTGTACATTAAAAAAAAAGAGAGAGGGAATAGAGGTAAATACTGTTAACCAATGGTTCATGGAGAGAGGTTGTGATCACTGCAGTGAAACAAAATATGATTGGTTGAGTGCAAAGCTGGCGATCTGCCCTGTTAACTACCATTCAATTCACAATAAAAATTAAAAAAAAAAATTAACCAGCTATATTTTGTTAAACATTTAATGAATTCATCCCTAATGTGATGGCTCGAAGTCCTGGTATAGCACTGTGGGTTAATGCACTGGACTGCAAAGTCGACTTGAACCACAAGGTCGGTGGTTCAAACTCACCAGCTACTCCTTGGAAACCCTATACAGGGTCACTATAACTTGGAACAACTCAACAGCACTTAACAATACCAACAACATGATGGCTCGGAGTCCTGATATGGTGCTGCGGGCTAATGTGCTGGACTGCAAGGTCAGTTAGAAACACAAGGTCGACGGTTCAAGCTCACTAGCTGCCCCTTGGAAACCCTACACAGGCTATGACTTGGAACCAACTCGACAGCACTTAACAACAACAACAACATGATGGCTAGAACAGTGGTTGCCTTGGCAAGGTCAGACAAAATGATTTCCAGAGCTTTGTGTGGTGTTGTGGGCTAATGAGCTGCACTGTAAGGTCAGCGGTTCAAGCTCATCAGCTGCTCCTCGGAAACCCTAAACGGAGTCACTATGAGTTGGAACTGACTCGATGGCACTTATAACAACAATGACAACAGCATATGGCCCTCGGGCAGAGGTTCCCCACCACTCGTCTAAAGGGTGTTCTGAGGCAGCAGGCACTGATGGGCAGAGAGAATCTGGAACCCCCTTTTAAATTGGCAAAAGTTGCTCAAACATGAACCAGAACACTCTGGGGCGAAGGTACACAGCACACATGAACTTGTCTGTGTAGTTAGACATGTGGTAGCAAAGCCCAGGTCCAGATTCCCGTGCCTGCCTAGGTCTGACCACCTCCTAGCTTATGACCCATTCACCAATAGCCGCTCACTGAGCTTCTAGGGTTAACGCTTTACAAAAGGACAAAAAGGACATTTCTTAAATATTAAACATGGTGACCTATTTAAAAATTTTGTTCAAATGTGTATGTATCACACTCTTTATTCTTTAACATGACTAAAACTTTAGGGAATGAAATAAATAAACTAAACATAAAAACTCAAAATGTTTATCATCAGGGAATTAAAGAAAAGGGTCCAGGGGAAATATTGATCTGGGTTGCTAGGGTGACAGGGCACGCTATCACCACAACAGTCTTTCTTCCCATCGGTCACACTTGGGCTTGACTGTGTCTCATGAAACACTCAGTGTCCGTTCTGAAGGTGAAACGAAGCAAAAACAGTATTCTAATATTTGTTAGATTTTTGGCTCAACTTAAAACCCTTTTATAACTCATACAATGTTTGTCACAGTCCTTTTGTTCAGCGATCTCCTTTTGCTGGGGGCAGCCTCGCTAGCCATGATGAATGAATCAGTCATGAGTGTGATGAGGGTGCTGGGGTGGTGACTTGAAGTCCACCTGGGACGTCACGCCACAGAGCCCAGGGCATGTCCTGTTCTGTGGTCTCTCAGAGATGGGATGGAAGAGTGAAGTCCGGAGGATGAAGTGATATTCTTCCCTCCACGCTTCACCACTGGGCCTGGTGAAGGCTTGGCAGCACTGGTTCCAACATGTGCCAGGGATCCCTCACAGAACCCCCTAGGCTAGATGACCTGAATTGGAGGGTCCCTCACAGACCCTTCCAAGGAGCTCTGGTAACATAGTGGTTACGAATCGGGCTGTGAACTGCAAGGTCAGCAGTTCGAAACTACCAGCTGCTCCGTGGGAGAAAGATGAGGCTTTCTGCTCCCATAAAGATTTACAGCCTTGGAAACCCTGTACAAGGTCACTATGGGTCGGAACTGACTCGACGGCACTTAACAACAACAACAACACAGATCCTTCCAGGCCAGACGACATGCACTGGGATCCCTCAGACCCTCCCAAATCAGATGATATGCAGTGGGGGTCCCTTAAAAAACTTTGCAGGTCAGACAATCGCAGCCAGTGGCTGTTCCCCTAACCCATGCTTATCAGATTCCATTACCCAGTCAAAGAACCTGTTTTCCCATAAATCAATCAGAAGTAGGTGGACAGACATTCCTTCTGAAGGACGTCTCTAGGTGGAGCGGCTAGAAAGAGAATCTGGGTTTCTTGCTTTTTGACTCAGTGAGTTTACACACTCACACCACACTCACCACACACACTCTCATCTCACATTCACACTACACACTTTTCCTTACCCCACACTCACTCACTCTTACCACATACACTCTCCTCAGGCACACCACACTCACACCATACAGTTACCACACTCTCCTCGGTCACACCACGCTCACACCATACAGTTACCACACACTCTCCTCGGTCACACCACAGTTACCACACACCACACTCACACCATACACACATGCATCACACACATCCTTACACACTCTCATGCACTTATCCCACACACTCACCATACTCAAAACTCACACCACACCCCACATGCTCATATTTACATACATTCATACCACACACTCTTCCCCCCCCCCGCACACCTTCACACATGTCACACTCACATACAAGAATATTCACACACACTCATGCCCCCACAGATCCCATTCACCATCCCCTCACACATCTACATCTGTAAGCAGCAATGTCCAGGGCTACCAGCTGCTGTCTGGAGCAGCTCTGCTCTCAGAGCCTCAGAAGGAATGGGCAAGGCTGATACCATTCGGACGCCCAGCCCCACAATTGTGAGGCGGTGCACTTGTGTTCTTAATGCCGCCACCTTGTGGTCCCGTGTTAGGCAGCCCCCTGTGCTCCCACCACCCATCAATTCTATCCTGTGGGTGACGGTCCGAGTTGTTAGCTGTCCCCAAGCCCACAGACTGTGTGAGGACTGGACCAGACACCAGGTGAGGAGTCCTCACAAGTGAAGACCCCCCATTTGGGAACACTGAGTGTCCAATGCCCTGTAGACAAGCCTGCTGTCTGCCCTAGGAGCCAGCTGTGCAGACTCTGGGAGCCCCGTCTGACCATCACTCCTGCAGAAGCTGTTGAGGCCGTACCTGAGCTTGTCTGCAACAAAGATGACCCTTCTTTCCAGAAGCAGGGAGGCGAAGACACAGACCAGGTGCCGGACGCTGAGCGATGAGAAGAGAGACTCAAAGTCCACGTGTTCAAGGCGAGAGTCCAGCGGGCGACACAGCTCAATGACCTGCCAGGGGTGGGGCAGAAATGAGGGGGCCATTCTACACAGCTTGGTCACCCGTGGGGAGGGAGGCAGAAGCGTGGGGGGTGGGGTGATGGGCAGAAATGAAGGGGACTGTCCTACACAGTGGGTGACACAGCTTGGAACCCTGTGGGGACAAGGCAAACTTGAGGGGCAGGCCAGGCCTCCCACAGGTGCTGCAGGAAGGGGATAAGAAAGACCCTAAAAGCAACTGGGGGAAGGAGGTGTTGGCAGGGAAGCGGGAGTCCCACCCTCATGAGGACACTCTCCATGGGCGCCAGGCCACAGATCCTGTCAGAGGGCAGCACGGACTGCACTAGGTCCAAAGGCAGGGTCAGACGGAGGTGGGGAGGACAGTGAGAGGGTGATGGCACTTAGCTGGAAATGGTCAGGAGGCTCCCTGGGCTGGACACATCTGGCCCTATGAGTCTGTGATGCTGAGAGCCGCCTGCCTACTCCTGTACAGACCGTGGGAGGCCATTTCCCGGGCTGTCCCACCTGCTGGTCAGGTGCCTTCAGAAGGCACATCCCAGGGCCCTTAACCCACCCTGCTGCTTTCTGGGGCTGCTCTATTTCAGTGTTTACGCTTGGTGTGTTTGCTGGAATGTTCCTTGGCTTACCAGTGACATAGTGGGTTTTCTCTCTCAATAACCGAGAGAAAATGCCTTACTTACTAACACCACTCTCCCCCGACAGTTTAACTGCTGGCACTAGGCAGGGATGGGGCAGGGAACTAGGCATTCTGGAATATCCTGGACCTGGCCTCCTGGCACCCACAGACTGAGGAGAATGGGCAGGACGCAGCCAGGCCTCTGTGTAGCAGGCTGAGGGAAAGGTGGGTAAACAGTTCCTGCCCTGTACTATCAAGCAGTGTCTGTGGTACTAAATGAAGGTGCAGTGGGAATCCTGAGAGGGGACTGGAATACTACCAGTTCACAGATGAAATAGGCCATCAAGATAAACCATGGCTGGATGTTCCGCTGTGAGTGGCTTCTCAGGGCCACTGAGGAATGAGGCAAAGGTGTCACAGTGTACACCCTTCCGACCACGGGACAGGTGTTGGGAGAGGACAGGGCTCTGACTGCCTACCTCTGTCCCTGATCCTGGCAGGAAGTTCTTGACCACAATGGTTTTGCCTAGAGCTGGGAACGGTGCTTCCAACACGCTCCTCATGAGGGGCTGAACCAGGGCAGGAGAGATGCCGCGTCGTTTCTCTACCTCGTCCAAGATCTGCAAGGACCAGAGAAATCACCTGGCTATTCTGAAGTCAGACCCAAGGGCTTGCGGACCATGGGTCAGGCAGCATGTCAGTCCCCCGAGTCTCCCCCTCACCCATGCATCCCCACCCTTAGCCAAAAGGGGTACAGGGCAATTCCTTCCCCCTTAACAGTGGGCTCATTACACTGATACATGCATTCTTGATAGGTGTAATACTGCCCCCAAGGGGGCGAAAACTCATGGACATTATCATAGTTTGTAGGTCTCCCACAAGTCACAGAATCTCAACACAGGCTATCTGTGGTATTAAAATATCATAGAGGATAGCTAGCAATGCAAATCAAAACCACACTGGGACGCTGCTTCCTACCCACTATGCCCAAAGCCAAGCCATGGTTGCTGAGGCAAGTCCGACTCACAGCAATTCTGTTGGACAGAGTAGAACTGCCCCACCCCCATGCAGTGGCTGGGGGCTTTGAACTGCCGACTTTCGCGGGGTGCTTTCACATCTGTGACACCAGGGCTCTCATACCAGCTAGGATGGCTGTAAGCTAAAGGACGTGTAATAAACGTTAAAAAGGACATGGAGAAGTTAGAACTAACTCTCAACCATCGCTGGTGAGAATGTAAAACTATTTAGCCACTTTGAGAAAAACCCGGCAGCAGTTCCTCAAAAGATTAAATACAGTTGTCATGTTGTCGTTGTTAAGTGCCGTCGAGTCGGTTTCAACTCACAGCAACACTGTATAGGGTTTCCAAGCAGCGGCTGGTTGAGTTTGAACTGCCGACCTTGCAGTTAGCAATCCAGCGCTTATCCTACAGGGCCACACCAAGACTTGCTGAATTTCAAACTAAGAATGGAAATTACATCAGTAATTGTTTTCTTTTTTACACTGACTGCATGTTGAAATAATAATATTTTGGATACCGTGGGTTAAATAAACCATTAAAAATTTTACAAACATTCATGGCCAGGCTGTGAGGAAACAGAACAAAAAGGGTCCTACAGGGGGCGGCGATGACATAAAGAAGACACATGGAGTGACCAGGAGGAGGCAGTAGACAGGGGTTGGAGGATCAGCCTGGCCTCTCTGGCCTCAGCACACAAGGAGTGTGTGGGCCCAGGGGGCCAGAGCCAGCCTCCCCTGGACCCGTGCCTCTTGCAGACACACGTGAGTGCAGAGGAGGGCAGGAAGTTCTGCTCTGAGTTGCTGAGCTCATGCACTTGTTACCCAGCAGCACTGGGGGCAACAGAGGAGTGATGCCCAGAGCTGCCCTTCTCATTCACAACTCCTTCTGCCATTTCAGTCACTCTTGTTCCACACCTGGAAAGAGCATGGCTTTCTGCAGCCACTTAACCTGTGTTCTGGTTCTGGCTCTGTTCAGAGAGTCGCTGTGTGTCCTTAGTAAACCACTGCTCAGGCTGCTGAAACACTGACCTGAAGAAAGCAGGACATGAGCAGAGCTGCCCAGGATAGGAGCAGAGGGGTTAGGGGTCTCACAGAAACACTTATTTCCGGCCAGGCAGAGAGACCCTGTCCTCAACACCAAAGGCTGTGGCCCCACAAGATGGCTGACGCAGGCAACGTTCGGAATTGAGTGACCAAGACTCCTTCTATGTGAAACTGCTGCCCTCCTGGTGGACTGCAGGGGGAGAGAAGGCCTCACTCTGGAACACACACTCCCCTGACTCGGGACATCTGGTAGCATGACTGTGAATTTCTACAGACAGGTGAGCATAGAGGCCTGAGCATTGCAGGGGCCGCCACTCACCGGCCGGGTGAGAACCAGTGGACAGCAGACACTCCACAGAGAACACTGACCACTTACCAACCCAGAGATGGATGTGGGATAAACGTACGTGTTAGAGACCCATGAAGAAGTCTCGTCTATGTATGTGGGAAGGGAGTGCCAAATTTAAGCTCGCTTCTGAGATCAGAACTCAGGCCGGGTAAGTGGGGGTGGGGGAACAGCTGACCTGATGTGGCAATTCTTAGGTTGTGACGCATTTGCTCGAAAGGTGACCTGAAATGCTACTGAAACAACAAGCTTTACACACACACACACAACACACCTAACATACACAAAACCAGGGTGGCCTTCTTGACAAAGACAAGACTCAGAAGAAGGGAAGTGAAGCACCCCAATGCTTGCCCTACGACAATCACTGCTACAGCTCCCCACCTCCTCAGCTCTTACTCCTGGACCCACTATAAAAGCAGAGGAAGCAGTGAGGTGAGGAAGAAGATGAGGGCAGGAAGCAGGCAGGGCTCTTTCCTCAAGGCTCTCCAGCCTCCTGCTAGTCCTGGCGTCCCTCCCCTCATCCTCGGAACAGAGGGGGCGCTCTCACCTTGGAGAAGAGACTGAAGCAGCCCAGGCGGCTGACGATGCAGTAAACCTCCGGTAGGCGCTTCCCTTTACCTCCAGGCTTTGGGGAGAGAAAGAAGGAAATGCTGAGCATCAGCAGCCCCAGACATTTCTGCCTTCCTGCAGCTGTGCTTCAAAACATGTGGAGTAAATGGCGACCCTATACCTATGGTTACAGGAGCCCTGGTGGTGCAGCGGTTCAGTGCTGGGCTGCTAACTGAAAGGTCGGTGGTTTGAGCCCACCAGAGGCTGCACAGAACAAAGATGACGCAGTCTGCTTCCTTAGGACGACAGCCTTGGATACCCTATGGGCAGAGTCCACATGACCACAAATTTGTTTGGTTTATACCTGGGTTATAATCTCATTGCCATGTTAGTGAGGTAATTTGAAATGGGGGTGGGAAGGGGGCCTGGGGAAGGCTTCAAAAAGTTTGTGGAAAAATTGCATTATCTTTCAGTTCCATTTTTCCCAGAGCATTTTGCAGCTCCCTGATATAACTGCTGATATGTCTTAAGGCAATCTCTTGAGACATCGAAGAGCAGATTAAGGAAAAAAGCAGAGATGGGGGAAGAGAATGCCAGGTCACATGATCACCAAGGAACAAAGGACCTCCCCACAGAGCCCAGAGAGAGAAAGCCAGCACCCTGAATTCCGACTTCCAACCTCCTCAACCACAAGAGAATATTATGTTTATTTATTACAGCTCACTTTAACAATGCCCAGGGAGCCCCGGTGGCACTAAAGGATAAGCACTGGACTGCTAACCACAAGGTCAGCAGTTCAAACCCACCAGTGGCTCCACAGAGGAAGATGAAGCTTTCTGTTCCCATAAAAATTTACATACAGCCTCAGAAGCCCTATCTCACGTCCACATGAGTTGGAACTGACCCATGGCAGTCGCTTTGGGTTGTAACAACACTTACTGTGGTATTTCTGCCACAGCAGCCCTCAGAAACGACACCTGCCGTGTACCAGATGTTTCCATAAACAGCACGTGAAGTAGGGAGTGGGAGGGTTCAGGTGTATGTCAATGTGTCTGAGCCCCGATCCTCAGTGGTTTGGCTGATCTTGTCATCATCCTCCACTGTGTGATCAACTCCATCAGCCAATTAGTTGAAAGGCCAATGGGCTTCCTTGGGGGTGTGGCCTACATCCAATTACATGGATGTTCAGGCAAAGCTCCAGCAAAGCTTGTTCTAGACCCTACATTTGATTCGCCATCCTCTGAGCTCCAGTTCTTAGGATGGACCTGAAGAGTTTGGGTTCATTAGACCCTGCAGCCACATGAGTCAGGAGAAAACTTCAGCTATCTGACTCACAGATTCAGGGCTTGCCAGCCTCCACAGCGCATGACCCATTTCCTTGAGTGAAATCTCTTTATGTAATATATAAGCCTCACTGGCCTGGTTTCTAAAGAACCCAGCCTGAGACAGGTACCAGTGTCCCTCCATAGACAAGGGTCCAGTGCAGACAGTAGATGCTTAATGTAGCCTATAGAAAAACCAGAGAGTAAGAATGCCTAACTTAATGTGATCTACAGAAAGATGAACCAGAGAGTAAGAAGGCCTAACTTGTTCACACAACCACAGCAGCTCCGCTCAAGGAATTACCTTGCTTATTACACTGATCATTCCGAATCAGAAACCATTTCTTAAAAACCCTTTTGAAAATGGACTTTTAAGCTAATTTTCAAATAAACAAACAAAAAAATCTCAATAGCTCAGCTCGAAAGTAAATGTTTGTCAACAAAAATGATTACCCCACAGAACGTTTTCCACTATACCTACACTGTATCTTAAGGAATTCAGCAAATATTTCTTGAGCATCCACAAGTGCCACTGTTGTTGTTAAGTGCTGTTGAGTCGGTTCCGACCCATAGCGACTCTGTATAAGGTTTCCAAGGAGCAGCTGGTGAGCTTGAACCACTGACTTTGCAGTTCAAATGACTTTGCAGTCTGATGCATTAGCCCACAGCGCCACCCCAGGACTCCACACTGCGAAACCCTAACCGACATCAGACTCAGATATTCTCAGTGGGAAATGTCCTGTTGCTATGGTAGATTTTCAAAAGATTAAGTTTCAAAACCAAAAATGGTCATTTTATTGAATTATTAATGTCAGGGGTTAAAGGTGACAGTTTCAAAGGGGAAATCCTGAAATGATCTGAGTCATGAGCAGTGAAACCGTCTCTGTCCTAAGCACTCATTAAGAATATCTTTGTTGAGCTATCAGGGTCTGGTTGGTAAGTTTCATTATAAAGGACACTTAGGGAGAGAATGTCTTTTTATTGGATGAAGGAGACAACTGGGAATGTACTTTTTTACTGAACCAAAGGAGAGAAAAAAAAACACCGTAACCATTTGCCATTGAAACCCTCTAGCCCTATGACATCCTCATGTGTGTCAGAGAATTGCATTCCACAGGGTTTCCAATGACAGGTTTTGGGGAAGCAGATCACCAGGCCTTTCCTCTGAGGTACCTCTGGGTAGCAGTATACCTCAAACCTTGGTTTGGTTAGTAGCCATGGTAACCCTCTGTACCACCCAAGGGCTCCAAAGGAGGCCGAGGCAAGATTCCCATCTACCAAGATGACTCAGGTGAGGCCCAGAATCTCCTCCTATATTTTAAAGAAGTCTCATGTGTAAGCTTAAGCATCCCCCTTTTTTTTTTTTTTTTTTAAGTATTTTACTGTGAATTTGGGTGAAGGTTTACAGACCCAATTAGTCTCCCATTCAGTAATGGCTACACATTTTGTTTCATGTCATTGATTACAGTCCTCACAACTCAACATCACTTAGTCCACTTCCTCCCTCCTGTTTCCATTCTTAAAATTCTGAACTGAAAATGACAGAAAAAAGACCAGATTGAGACGGGCAGAACTCGTAAAGACTTAAGGTTCTTTGTCAGCCTTCAGATCTGGAACTGGGGACTCATCTCTGTGGTTCAATTTCCAGTTAAACAACAGACAGGTCTACAAGGGGAACAAAGGTGTCCTGGTAGGATAGAGGATGCCAAGCTGGGCTACTAACTGCCAGGTCAGCAGCTGAAAATCTATCAGTCACTCCGAGGGAGAAAGAGGAGGCTTCTGCTCTGAAGATTTATAGCCTGAGAAGCCCTTGATAGGGTCGCTAGGAGTCGGAACAATATCAGTAGGGAGACACGCACACCTTAGAATAAGAAATCATTTGAGATCAAAAGGGTAAACTTTAACTAAGGACAAAATATCTCTTGTGTTTTTAAGCACCTGACTAGCTGACTGTGCCTTTGGTGGCTTCCTTTGTGGAGAAATCCTAGTCTGGGGGCCTCGGGGGCCAGCCCGGCTCTCCAGGGACCTTCTGCCAACTGAAAAGGGAACACACTCACCAGCAGCCTCCGACAGTATCCAAACCTCCGGCTTCCATCTTCTCCAGTTAAGACAAATGAGAAGGTCTCACTGCGGAAGAAAAGGAGCATTACTAAGCCAAGTGGAGCAGGGCCTCTAGGGACAGCAGGAGAGGCCTCAAAAAGGCCATGCGTTCTGTGCAGCCACTCAGCTCCAGAGCAGGAGATGGAAAGGCCGCCTCGTCTCCCGAGGAAGAAGGGGAGACCCTTCTGGCCCTGAGCAATTTCAGAATTCAGAGGACACAGTGGACCATGACTGAGCTCCCACTATGCAGAGGGTCTGTGGTGGCCTTGGTGGACAAGGGGGTGGTAATGAGGGAGCAGGTGACTAGTGGGGCAAGCTCTGGGGCCCTCTTGGGACTGCCCTGTGTCACTCCCCTCGCCCCGCCCCCACGAACTGCCTGTTCTTAAACACAGGGTGTCCGTCCCTCCCACACTTGGGGTATGGTCAGTGGGGTTTGGTGAGAGGCTGAAAACATCAGAGCGGACACACTGCCCTGACAGCAGGGACTGAAGCAGACGTGTGCTCGGGTCACAGCCCACACCCTAGTGTGTGATCTGTGAGGGTGGGCGGGGGACAGTGACAAGGCTGAGGACCCAACACTCTGGTAATTGGGCTCTAAGATTCAGGGGTACCTACCCACCCCACAATGCTGGACCTTCAGGTCAGGTCCAGCAGGATGAACCGAGGAGAGTATCATCTGTGTACCCTCATCATTTTCATCTCTGTCTGTGGGCGGGGCGGGAGTTGGTACCCCCACAATCCTGTTGCTGGCTGCCTTCCAAGTGGAGGAGGTGCCCACCTCCCCACCCCACCCCCACCTGATTCTCATCTCTGTCTTTGGGGTGGGGGGAGGCTGGTACCCCATTCTCATCTGTTTTGGGGAGGGTAGGAGGTACCCCTCATTCTCATTTTTGTCTTTGGGGTAGGCAGGGAACTGATGACCCTCTCATCTCTGTCTCCAGGGTAGAGAAGGAATGGTCCCCCCACTTTCCCTGTCTTGAGCTGGGGGAGAACTGGACCCCCTTCTCGTCTCTGTGTCTGGGTACGAAGGTGGGCTGGGCATACCTGGTGAACTGCTGCACGGGAGCCCAGTCCTTGGCATCAGGGAAGCAGAACTGAGGGATGGCTTTCAGCTGGTCCTCTGCCTCACGCATGAACTTAAAGGACCTCTCCAGCTGCAGGGAGAGAGGACTGCCTCTTAGCATCTGGCTTGGGGAAGGTCTGCAAGTCAGCCCAAGGGGTTTCAGGAGTCAGGAAAGAAACCAGCCTGCTCTTGAGAAAAGTGCCTGCAACTCACAGCGACCCCAAGTGCCAGAGTGGAACTATGCTACAGGTTTGGCAAAGCTGCCATCTGTCTGGAAGCTGGTGGCCTCCTCCTCTTCCTCCCAGGAAGCAGCTCTGGGCTCCTTTTCCTCTGCCTAATGCCCTGGACTCCTGGGGTGGCACTATGATTAATGCACTGGACTGCAAAGCCATTTGAACTGCAAGGTCGGCGGTTCAAGCTCACCAGCTGCTCCTTGGAAACCCTATACAGGGTCGCTATGGGTCGGAACCAAGTCGAAGGCACTTAACAACAACAACAACGCTCTGGAACACAATTGATACTGAAAACCGGACACGGTGGTGTCTTCCCCAGGGAAGGGTCAGGAGTCTGCATAGCTCAGCCTCACTGAGTGGCTCCAGTCTGGCCCCTGGCAGGCTGAACAGCACAGCTTAGAGAACACACAGTGAATCTCAGCTACTTTCAGGGTTAGGGAGTATCAGAGCTAGAAGGGACTCCAGTCTTGTTTCGGGGGTCAGGGAACAAGCCCAACATGTGAGGTGATGTATCCCTAGTCACACACCATGCTGGAGCTGGGGAGCCACCCTTGTGTATCTGCTATCCCAGTATCCAGCATGGTGCTGGGCACATCCCAGTCTGCAGGAGTACATTCTGTTCATTTAGTTCATCTCTGCATTTGTCTATGACAGGGTCCCTCCAACAATGAGTCAGACATGGAGAATAAGCAGTCCATTACAGTCCATGTGGCACGGAGCACTTTAGGCACCAGGAGTTCATTCTAGACAAAGCCAGCTAGATGCACGCGGCCCGAAGGCCGTAGTGGGACAGAGCCTGAGTCCCCTGTACAGACACAGAGGGACACTCGGTGCACAGACGGTCATGGAGCACAGAGGCCACGGGGAGCCCCTGTGGGAGGTGATGTGCCTGATAGGAGGGGAATAGGGTCTCCAGGGGTAGCTGGGAGAAAACACAGAGGGTGTGGGGTTCACACGGGGCTCCCACTTCTAGACCTCGCTGCATTCATCCTCAGGCTTGCCAAATTCTCCAGTAGCAGTGCATGTCTTCCAGGGTGCACCAGTGAACCTTTTGGCTGTTAACTGAAAGGTGGGTGGTTCAAGCCCCCTCAGCGGCAACATAGGAGAAAGACCTGGAGCTCTGCTTCTAGCCTGGGAAACCCTCCAGGGCAGTCCCACTCTGCCACATGGGGTCAGTACAAACTAGAATGCACATGACAACACCCGACAAGAGCAGCAACAGTTGAGATGTATTGTCAAGGCTGTGTCCCCAGACGTCCTTGAGTCCCTGGTCTACCTTCAGGGGGAACTGCTGCGTGAGCTCCGGCACATAGTTGGCCCCCGCCTGCTTCTTGTGCAGCGACACGACCACAAAGTACTCGAAGAGTTGCCGTTCCTGGTACTCTAGCAGGTCCCGGTCCGGCGGGGGGCACCGCGGGGCCTGCTTCAGGCGGGCCCGCACATTGACCAGCCGCTGGCTGTGAGCTGCGGGGAGAGAGAATTGTTTCCACGTCTTACGAAGTAGCACAAACTCTGTTTTGGGGGCCCCATCTAAAGTGCCAAGGAGCTCTGGTAGCATAGTGGTTACAAATCAGGCTGCTAATCTCAAGGTCAGCAGTTCGAAACTACCAGCTATTCTGCGGGAGAAAGATGAGGCTTTCTGCTCCCGTAAAGATTTACAGCCTCGGAAATCCTGTACAGGGTCGCTGTGAGTCTGAACCGACTCCACAGCACACACCACCAACAACAATCCAAATAGGAGCACTGGTGGCACGGTGGGTAAAGCATTGGATTGCAAATGCAAGGCCAGCAATTCAAACCCACCAGCTGCTCTGCATGAGAGGGATGAGGTGGTCTTTTCCCACCAAGATTTATAGCCTCAGAAACCCTAATTCAGGGTCCCTATGAGTTAGAATCCATTCAATGGCAATGGGTTTAGTTGGACTTTTTGGGTCAGAGCACTAAGGACCTCTGTAGGGTGATGGATTAAGCACTGAGCTGCTAATTGCAAGGTCATTGGTTCAAACCCACCAGCCTTTCTATGAGGCAGTCTGTTCCTGTAAAAGTTTATAGCCTAGGAAGCAGTTCGACTCTGTCCCAGACGGAGGACAGGACATGAGGGCAGCAGCTCTGGTTTCTGGTTTTCGCCCAAGTGCTGTGTTGCAGACCGTGTAAGACTAGTCAGAGGTTCGAG